AAAGCAAATATACGAGCAGCGGGATTTAAAAGAAAAACATTGAAATATTGGATGAAGTAAACGTCTTATCCAAATAAGCTAAACTTGCATATACTGATGAACAAATAAATTTAGCATGCATGATCAAACCAACTATGAGTGTATATTAACATATACGCATGCATTACATAAACATGTTCATATAGTAGTCTGACCATCAATCAATGTAAAATTGTTGGCATGTCATTTTGAGACATAAAATTTTTTTTATGGTTCCTATAGTAAAATGACCTGGGGAATCCAAATCCGTTGGGAGCCAGACACCATCTGTCGGGTATTTTATGGTAGCCGCATTTTTTCCAAGATTACAAAGCAGCCAAAATTACAAATTCTCCTAAATCGGCTCATTCAATCCTAAATCATCATACATACTCCTAATTCGACTCATTCAATCCTAAATCATCATAAAAAGCTATATAATGTCTTCAAACTTACATAAATAGTATGTAAGATTATTTCTATCTATTCTACATTTGTTGAAATCCAACATGGCCACCAAAGTAGTTAAAAAGTTGATAATGGCTGCCAAAAAAGTTGATTTTTAAATAAATCCAAAATATCTTGCAGTGCACTTTCACTAATCATGCACTATATGCAATTGTTTTCAGTAAGACTCATTCTTGACTGGAGTGTCACCAACAACTTACCAGCCATATTCAAGAGGATTTATGGAAGGTGGGTCATGTAAGTTAGCAGATCTCCAAATTGCTGTTTGGAAGTGTGATCTGGCACAGTGAAGTCTGAATACAGCCTGACTCTAATCTAACCTATAAATATAAATGAAATTATATGTAAACAATAACAAATGAATGATATGCGTAACAAAATATTATAAAACTGCTAATATAGTACAGAATATTTTATTGGCTCAAAGTCACAAATACCTCCACTTTTGTTGACTGATTTCAAGTTATGTCATGCACATGGTGCACCAATAAGGCAAATATGTTAGTGTCTTCTGACAACACAGCTATTGGCGAATTTCCTAGCTTTGTTTCTTGAAGTAAGTGATAGATCATCGTAACATCAGCTTCTTTGTGTGTTATGAACACATCTTGTTGCCCAACGCCTACTTCAATAGAATGAAAATCTAAGCCAGTTATAACTACCCTTTCGTCGCTTTCAAATGCAGTTTTACTCAGACGATTAACTATCAATTGAATGACTTGTTTTTTGTTGTCGCTTACATTCAGAACAATTCCTTGTGCTGGTAGTTGTGAATGCTTATGTAAAGTGAAAACATGACTGACTTCCTTGTCACGTGTTGATCTGCATGAAGATTTAATACTAAGCTTAAAATGCCAATCAAATACAACATGCAAAATGCTGCTTCCAATAGCTTGACGCTTAATGCTTTTTACCACTGTTGTTACATAATCTGACATCTTAGCAAGTGGTGATGGCCAGGTCACTGCCCATATTAGAGCACAACGGTCGATAATGAGAACCTTGGACTGTGTTGTGTTTCTTGTTCTACAATCAACTTTTAGCTTTGCTTTGAGAACCAATTTATTTGCCTTTCGCATTTCTCCACTATCATCAAAAAGTGAAGCCGTTATGGGAGACAACTCATGATCAAAAATTGTTTCCAAAGAAAGATCTTCTCTTGAAGGAGCCATAATACCCATTGTGCGAGCATAAATAAAATGACTTGCACTATTTCTAATGTATCTCCAATTATTACTTTTTTCTTGGATGCTTCTGCCATCAACTTTATCGATTTCTTAAAAAGGTTGTGAAATCCATCTGGCCACCTTCTCTCATAGACCTGCCATTGAGCAGTACCAATCTGAATCGAGTCATATGCATTAACCGATAGATCATCAACAATTTGTCCAGAAAATATGCTCACAAGACCTTTGTCAGGTTGGTGAGTCAAATCGAAAACATCTATGCATTTTTTTATTGCTTCCCTAATGCTAGTCCAATCTTATTTATTGTTTTGCAAATATGGTTTTGTTTCTTCTTTGTGAGATATCACTATATTTTCTTTGAATGAATCATTCATTGATTCTAAGTTGTGTTTCAGCTGTCCAATAAACCCAAGTGATAATGCCAAGGTTGACATTAGGCCAGGTAAATAAAAATGAGAAATTACTTTTACTCAGTAATTGGTCATCTTTACATGAATAAAAACATCAGCAATTTACTCAAGTTTTTATTCATGTAAAGCTGACCAATTACTGAGTAAAAGCAATTGCTTATTTTTATTCAACCGACCTATTGTATTTTCATTAAGTGTTGAATCAATGACACCAGTTGGTCCATGTCCGAACCTTATATATGTTGACTCAATGAAAAGGTTGAACCAAACAGCGTTTCATAGTCCATCTTGGTGGCGCATACCATGCTCTCCATCCATAATTTTTTTAAGTACTGTTGATTGGAGTTTCTGATTTGAAGGTAATAAAGACCATACCTGTGAACTTAAAATATATTTATTAACTTTTTTTATTCATTATAATAGATATATATCAAAATTGTAATGGACATTGCATAGTGATATTCATTCAGTATTTTGAATCAAATAATAAATGCATAATTTTTTGCATCATTTTAAACTAAGTTATATCAATAATAATATTAAATATAATTCTTTCTGCAATATTTTTTGGATAGAGTAAAATGGGGTAACTTTAGACATTTCGCCGCCAATTGGTGTATATCGACTTTTATTACTATAACTTTACTCAGGAATAAGATTTTTTATAACTCAAATTTCTATTAGAAGAAAAGCAAATTTCTTATCAAATTATGTAAAAAAAATCTTCTTTTTTTGAAAACTTGATAAGAAAATCAATTGACAAAAATAATCTATAAAAAAAAACAGGTAATTTAAAATTCTCATGAAAATCAAATTATTTATTTCCATTCAAAATTTAAAGGATTAAAATATTGGAAAATTTATAAAGCATCTTTGTATCAAAGAGCTAATGGAAAAAAGCATTGCAAAAGTTAAAGCTGGTAAACTGAGTTGCAAGTGAGCTGCAGAATTACTGTATACCTCAAAGGGCACTAGTAGGAAGATTTCAATATCCTCCTAAAATATCCTACATTTCTATGAAAAAAAATAGGTAAAAAAAGTGTCCGGACATGTCCCGATACCTCTTGGTATTGATGGCCGTGCCTCCACTATTGAAGATTGTTAGGTTTCTTCTATATAACTGATTGTAAATGTGTTTTTAAGATTTATAATTTAAAATTAAAATTTTATGTAAACAACAAAGGTTGTAAACAACATAGGTAGCAAAGTTCCCACAAATTAGATTTTATTAGGGTATTTCGCCACCCCATTTTTTCTGTTCTAATTGTTATTTCTAAAAATTAAAGTATGTAAAGTTTATAAAAATATTACTAAAAATTAAATTTATCTTAATTTCCTTATTCTTGATTTTTTTGTTTTTCAAACTTAGTTTTTACCACAAAGTATTTAAATGTCTAAAATGTAAAACTTGCAAACGGCCGTGTCTAAATGAAAAACTTTTTTGGGGACAAATAAAATGGAAAACTACACGTGTGTCCTAAGAAGGCTTGATTCTGATTCTCACTGGCTCACATGTAAATACATTATGTGTTACATATGTAAATATTATTTTATACATTTTTAACTTTTTTAACCAAAATTTTACTTTTTTTCCATAAAACTTCCAAAAAATAGTAAATAAATTTTTTGTCTGCTTTTGTTATTTTTTAAAATAATAATCTGTTAGTAAAATCATGCACAAGTACATATTAAAATCTTCATAATACTTTTTGATGAACATTAAAATTTTTTACAGTTTTTATAAAGTGTGTAAACGAATATCTTAGAAAAGAAAAACTTAAAAAAATTGCTTGTGCCATTTTTTTTACCCACTGTACCTATATATGCATGTTCTAATTTGCATCTGCTTTTACTTTTGTCAATATATTTTGTATTGATATAGCTATTAGAATTTTATTTTGAGTTTATATAGCTTTTATTTTGAATTGATATAGCTATTAGAATGTGAGAATCTAAAACAGTAACAGATTATAAATCTTACAGCTTACCACCAAATTATCCAGCACAGTTAACATCAAAATGTTTATGTGAAATTGATTTTTAATCAAGCATAACTAAAAATCGAGTTTTTTGATAAAAGGTTTGAAGAGAAAATTATTCAAATAATTTCAGTACTTTTTCACGCTGTTCTATTTTAATTCTACTGTTAGTATCAGCTCAAACCATCACAAACAAATCAAATGTGCACTTTTTATTAAATTAAATTGATCAAAATTAAAGACACAAATTTTGAGAAGAATCCCTGATTATACTTGTGATTACAGAGTATGATGAATATTAATTATATTTATTTATTTGAAAACAGTTATTTAACAATTTAAAATAATAATAATAATTTAACAATTTAAAATAATAATAATAATTTAACAATTTAAAATAATAATAATAATTTAACAATTTAAAATAATAATAGTAAATAATAGTAAATTTATTTTTGCAACAACTTGACCACGGCTTTTTAGTTATGTTAAACAGATATTTTTCTGTATTGTGGTATTCTGTATATGCGGTAGTGGTGTAGTGGTAGAGCGCTCGCTTCATAAACAAGTGGTTCCGAGTTCGATTCCCACCACGGCCCTGGTAGTACCACGCTCAACTCGTTTCTCCGCGCAACCGCCTTGTTCGTCAAGGTTCGTGTTTCGGAGTTATAGAGTTGAGAGAGGGTTATAACCACTAATAAATACCCTCCTCGTCTGTAGTGGCCTTCTTCTCTAAAATAAGTCATTAGAAATTGATCATTTTAATGATTTCACTAATTCTGTTTTCCTCCTGTCTTTGTTGCATTTTTTCAATAAACAATGATTATGATGATTGCAATAATGATGATGATGATTATGATCATGATCATGATGATCATGTTGATGATTATCATTATGTCAAAAACAATTTAATGTTTGTTATTTATCTCATCAATTAGGTATGGAATTGTCTTTCATACTCCCTAGTGACTATGTTTCAGTTTTTGAAAGTTTATTTTCTGAAATTGAAAATCGGCATGAAGAACTAGGAATATCAAGTTATGGTGCATCTATTACAACTTTAGAAGAAGTGTTTTTAAAAGTTTGTGAAAATGCTGAAGAAATGCAAAATGTTGACCAAAACATAAAAAAAGAAATAGACTCAAGTATATTTATTTAAAATTGTAAATTTAATAAGTATGATTTAAAGCTGTTTTGTTGTATATAGTATATTTTCTTTTTGTATTTAGTAAATTAAAGTATATTTGTGTGTTATTGTATTCACTTATTGTATGTATGTACTGCATGTACTCTATTATGTGCTATTGTATGTGTTATTGTATTTATGTATTGTATGTACTATATACTTGTATTGTATAAGTATATTGATTTAAGATTTCAGCTTAAATTTGCCTGATCTGCTACCAGATGTTCTCCCTTTATCTAATTCACAAAGCATGCAGCTTCTTGATCCACCTTCACTAACATCACAAAAAAATAGTGGATGGACTCTCTCAATCCAACGATGGTATGCAATGTTTTTAAAACGATTTCTTCAATCCAAAAGATATAAAGCTGCACTTATATCTCAACTGATTGTGCCTAGTATCAATGTAATGCTTGCATTGATAGTAGTTAAAACTATGCCAAAAGCTGTCGACTCTCCACCTCGTCTTCTTGATTTAAATATGTTTGGAAGTAGTAATGTTATTCTGCATGGAGAGAGTTCCAGGTTAGTTGATATTACTAACTTTTGAATAATTACAAGGCAGGTTATATTAATATATAACTCTGCCTTGCAATTGAAATTATTTCCAATAAAATGCTTTTCTATTTCAACCCAAAGTTGTTAAATACTCTTATTAAATTTGTTTCTCTGCGCAGCGGCCTTGTTTGTCAAGGTTCGTGTTTCATAGTTATAGAGTTGAGAAAGGGTTAAAACCACAATTAATTAGTCTCCTCATCTGTAGTGAAATTCTTCTTGGCCTTAGGGAGGTTTTAACATAAAATTAACATAAAATTAGCATTAAAAAAAAACATAAAATTAACATAAAATTAAAAAATCCATAATAGACAAATTTGTTTATTTTTGATAAAAATCATTTGTCTAAATTTAATACAATGTGATATTGATTCATAATAAATTTTATATATATATATATATATATATATATATATATATGTATATATATATATATATATATATATCAGGGCGGGACAAATCGACAAACGTGTCAATGTTTGTTTAAAAAAAAACACAAAAACGAATGTCATGTTTCTTTACTTTTACTTAAGGAAACATTTTTTTAAATTTTTTATATTTTTAAAACGAACGCATAACTTCAGCATTTTTTTTTCCAATTGATAATTTTTTATTTATAATAAAAAAAACAGTTACTAAAATTTAAAACGCATTTTCAACAATTTTAAAAGAAACCTTTTATAATATATAATATATAAAAGAAAGCTAAAACAGAATAACTATCATTAATAGCATTACTTTTAAGTTAAATAACAAATATGCTATTAAAGAAATTAATTTTGTTTTAGCATGGTTTTTACATGCGTTTACAAAAGCCTGCAAAATTTTACTTAAAATGAATGCGTTAGCTATTACTTTAAATGAAAACATTTGTTTAAAACTTCTATTTTATTTTTAGTTCCCTTTTATTTTAATTTTCTCAAGTTAATATGTTTTATTATGTAATTAAATAAACTTTAGGAATTAAATTAAGAAAAATTCACTATTTTGTATTAATAGATAACCGTTTATAATCATTAAGTTATTGCATATTATTAAGGTTGTTTTCCACAAGACAAGATTATTTCGTCAGTAAGCAGATAAAACATTTCTGTTGCTATTGCTGATCATTCAATTTTCTTTGTGCAAATAAAATATTTCTGCCGATCCATTTGCTGCAGCAAAAAAATAAAGTTGATCACTATGAGCGTTTATAAAAGCTACTCGGTACTTTTTAGGGATTCACCCCACACACGCATACTTTTTTTTTCAAAAGCATACAGCATAAACTTATAGCTGCCATTTTTAATTGATATATATGTATATATATATATATATATATATATATATATATATATATATATATATATATATATATATATATATATATATATATACACACACACACACATATAATATATTTGTATATATATTATAAATATATATATCAGTCTTTTACGTTTGGCTAGCGCTTTCATGCTCGGCAACACACTTGCAAAAACTTTAAGGTTAAACTTTAAATTAAAACATTTTTTTAAGTTAAATGAAAAAACTGTATCAAAATTGTAATTAAACATCTTAAAAACACTTTTTGTATGAGTTATTTTATTTAGAATTTACATTTGCTGTTTTTATTTTAATTATCTTACTTAGAATATAGATATTTTGTTCATCATGCTGTTTTTAATAGAATTATTTTATTTAGAATTTAAATAAGTTTTTTTTTGTTTTTTTTGTTAGTTTATTTTTTTTTTTGTTTGTTTGTTTATTTTTTTTATTTAATATAGAACTTTTTTTTTTTTTTATTTTGATAATTTTGTTTAATATTTGTATAAAAAATTTTTTATTTTTTGTTTTATTGCCATTTTTATTTTAATTATTAAATATAAAAATAGTTCATTTCGCAGTGCTTTTTTAGTGCTTAGAATTTATTCTAAGCATTTTTTTCGCTGTTTTTTTTTTGTTTTTTTTTTTTTTTAATTTAAATATTTTAATTAAACATCTTCACCTCCAACAAGGCTCCATACTATTAGAGTTGGAACCAAAAAGATAAAGTTTATAAAAGTTGTTTTGAGTTGGAATAGAATTTATAAAGCCAGATAAAGATTAACTGACAAAAACAAAATAAAAAAAAGCAAATTCCAAAGAACTGTTCGAGGAAAAAAACTAGACAAATAAGAACAGTTACAGAAAAAGGATGAGACTTAATTAAATAACAAGTAAGACAAGAATGAAATTTAGTTGATTACACAAGAGAAGCTAGCTCTTTAGAGCAGGCTAGGACAGGAATGGCATGCGTTTACATGCTTTTACTAAACATGATTATAATTTTTTTTTACAATTTGATCATAAATGTTTTAATGTTTTAACAATTTAGAGGCAGTAAAAAAATTGTTTCCTAATGAATTATTTTTAATTGTTAATCTTTTTAAAAGTTTTTATTTTATGCCAAGGCTAATAAATAAAATATAAGAATATTTACAATTATTCTTTAAAATAATTGTATTTTGTGTAAATTAAATATTTAATTTTTTTTTAGTAGGCATATACTTTATGATAAATTTAAACATTTGAAACTTTTTTTCCATGTTTTTCTAAAAAAAAATTTTAAAAGATGATATTTTTAAGTTGCTTTAAATTTACTTTAATTATAAATAATTTAAATTAAAATGATGCAATGGAATGATTTAATTGCTTTATTTATTTATTTATTTTCTATTTTTACATAGAATTTAGTAAAGGCTTTTTTTTTTAAACTTGACTTACTAATAAAATGATTAAAAACTACTATTTTAAAGACAACGATGTTATTTAAAAAATATTTTTCCAACAACTTTTTTAAAATAAATGTTTATACAATTTTAAAATATAATATTTTTTTCTTTTCAATAAGTATATTTCACTTTTCAACAATTTAAATAAAAATTTTTCTTTTATTAAGCAATCATTAGAAGTAATTTGCATAAAATTTTGTAAAAAAAATTTGTAAAAGCGTTTTGCATAACTTTAATAAAACAAAAGTAAAATTTTGAAGTAATTTGTTTCAAACGCAATTAAAAATAAAAAGTTTTATTTAAAGATTTTTATTTTTTTATTTTTTTGTAACAAGTTATTTTCTTTTTTCTCTTAGTTTTTTTAACTTTTTTCCTAGTTTAAGACCTAAAAAAAAAAATTACAAACGCTAAGCTAAACTGTTAGTGCTTAGTGTTTCTTTTTTTCAGCGCATTTCTGAAATGTTTAAATCATTAAAACATTTAAATAGTCATGATCAAGTTGTCAATAAAAAAAATCATTTGCATTGTCAGCAATAGCATTTGATTGCACGCCATTTCTGTTCAAGTCTGCTAGAGCAGCGCCCATTATAATATTTATAAAAAAGAGAAAGAAAAGTAACATTACAACAATGTGACAATAGTTAATAGTTGCCTGCAAGAACAGGTCCAACTATGTTTACAATGCATTTTTACGCCTTGACTAAAAGAGAAAGAGCATCATTCATTACAGGGACATCATTCTATACAAGGATGGATTTGAAATTGATAGAGATAAAGCATAGAACACGGAGTAAGAAAGTGGCAAACACGATAAACACGGTGCAACCTTACCTGATGCTAATTTTGCGTGTATATATATATATATATATATATATATATATATATATATATATACAGGGTTCGAAATAACAAACTTTTTTCTACCAGACAATTTGTCCAGTAAAGATATAAGTTTGTCAGACATGTCCAATTCAAATTAAACAAGTACAATCAAACGCCATTCCTGAACACGCCTAAAGTATTTTTTTTTGACCACGCAACAACTTGACAACTTCACCACGCAATTTGCTTTGACAACTCTAGGCGTTTCAAAATGAGCTCAAAATAAATAGAAAATTTCTAAAGAACTTAAAAACTTAAAGAAAAAGAAAAAATCTAATCTCAAAAAACTAAAATTTGAAAAGAAAAATATAGTTAAATTATTTTTTAAAAATTACCATATTATGCAAAATGCTTAGTAAATTATTAAATACATAAATAATTACTTATTAAATACATAAATGATGTAACTATTAAATACGTAATTAAATATGTAATAAAAATGTATAATAAAAATAAAAAAATTTTAAATGCATCAATTACTATGTAAGTATATTAAATACATAAATATTACTTTATTAAATTAAGTAAAAAACTAATTATAAAATTTACAACAAACTTATTTCAATTTAAATTATCAAAGTATATTATATGTAATTACATTTATTTAATTTATATATTATATATTTATATAAATGTAATTATGTATTTAAGTGTTTTTTTATAAATCTTTTCAAACTTTTTACTAGTTTTCTGATTTTATAAACACTTTTAATAGCAAAAATTTTTGGCGGAAATACGAACATTACATAACAACTCAAGTTTACTAGTGTAACAAAAAGTACTGGTTTCTATAAGTATTAAATTAACTATTACGTTAAAATTTTTATAAAACATATTTAAAAGAGGGTTTTAAAAGCTAAAATATTTGTTTAAAATTTATAAAAACCATCAGACAAAAAAAAATACCAAACATTAACTTTAAGTTAATACTTAATTGCAACATCTTAATACGAATGATAAAAACGCCCTGTTTACTTAATTCAAAAAAAAAACGTAATACTTTGGCGTATTTTATAAAATGAATCAACTCAATAAAATGATGTATTTTATTAATGTAGTGTTTAACTTCAATTTTGCTTTGTATAAAAATAAAAAGTTCAAAAGATAAAGTTTATATACTGAATTTATTAATAATTTTGGAACAACTAAAATGATTAGAAAATAAATGCAAATAAAATATGTCAGACTAAATGACCGATATATTAGTTTTTTACTGGACAAGTGCCAGATAATGTCTGATGTCCGGCGCTTATTTCGAGCCTTATATATATATATATATATATATATATATATATATATATATATATATATATATATATATATATATATATATAT